GTTGCAAATTAATTTGCGGTCAATTCTTGTGTAACCTCAGCGCACAACTTTGCATAACCTCAACCAAACAACGCTATAGTCACATTCTCAGACGCCCACACAATTACGTCAAGGTTTGCACCTGCCTACGGATGTTTAGTATGCACTTCTATCTACATACATACATATGCAATAAGTAGGGGTGCATTCCACCATTCAACCATCAATCACAAATCAACAATTTCATAGTTACAGTAAAAAGACATGCATGACTAAATCGTCTGGGGCTATTGAATTTTGTGCGATTCTGTGAGAAAATTACCAGCGCACAAACATGTAAAACACATACGAGTATAGTGTATATTAAATTGTAGATAAACACAAACTAATTGACACAATTAAAGACGCGGCAATGTGAGAATTTGGAATTTGCAATGAAAAAGGTGTGAAATAAACAAAGATCAGTGAATGGAACATCATAATTGACCGGATAATATAGTTAGAATAGAAATTACTAGTATGTAGAGAGTGCAACATCTTTTTTTACGGTAGGTAAATAATATTCAATAGGCATGAGAGTGAGAAGTGTAGATATATAGTAAATCAATTCCGAATACCCATGTGTTCAAGAGAGAGATGCAAACTCACACATACACGTTTGTTTACATCAGTTTTTGCACAAGACTCTTAAGAAAATGATAGAAACTTTGTTCTGCGCACTGACAAAATTTTTTCAGCTGTGACTGTCATAATACCGGTCAGTTGACTGTCACTGTTCTTGTAGAGATGCTATGAAAATCTGAATTCATTGCAATTCGAACTATGGATCGCTTTTACCGAAACAAAGCCGCAAAATAGTCAAATTTTAAATCAAAAATAATCGTTCAGTTGATTAATCATCGAAAATCGGTTTATTGTTTTTAAAAATATTCTCCATTAAGCTCTGTTTGCATGCTTTTGAACCCATTGTCGAAGCACTTTAGCCACTCTGATTGAAGTGTCGCCAAACCATGCATTCTAAACGCAACAATCACTAGTCCAGGTGTCGAAAAACGTTGAGCTCTTAATTTTTTTTACGTACGGAAATAAAAAGAAATCATTCGGTGCCAAGTGAGAACTATACGTTGAATGACTCTTCAAATTGTTGTTTTGAGTGCACAAAAATGATCGAGTTTCTTCGCCAAAAATTGAAATAAGCTCATCGTTACACTGTTGCTGAGTTAATCCACGTCGAAAATTCTAAAAAAAATAATGGCAAATAATGACTTTCGCAAATGTTCACGATTTAATGCCATTTTTAATGAATAGTTTAAGTTACTGGAAACAACACAAATAGCGCTCGTATGTCAAAATGTTCTGAGTCTGTATAACATCTTCATTGTCAAACTTTACGATAAAGTTGTGAGTTGCCAGATTACAACACTAGCGTTGCCAAATCGCGAAATATAAAAGGCAACCTAAGTATTTATCCAATCTACATACCGATGTAAACGAACAAAATTTGCTTGAAAATTTTTGACAATTAATGATTTCACGCCGCACTGTGATGAGTTTCACGCAAACCCCTTTGCCGAAATCTTCTCTATAACGCCGGTAATATTTAAAAAAGTAATGCAGAACGCAGCAAAGACTTGACTTGCTTGACTGATATTGTAACCAAATTATTGCAAATATGTTTAAAAAAATATCTATATCTATTTATTTCGACTTCTACTCAAACATTTTTCGCAGAGTTATCACAGGCTGACATGTTGATCCCTAACAGAAAAAATCTGAAATTTAAAACTAATTTTAATAAAAAATGCTTTAGCAATATGCTAAAATTCGTCTACATCAACTTAAACTTTTTGAATGCAAATGCCTTTTGCACCTTCCATAAGTCCAAGCAATCAACTTTGAATGAGCAAAAGTAGAAAGTTCGGTAACATGTGGTACCAAAGCACGCATGCTGATTTGCCACTTTTTGGCACACCTATTTGACAATGGAACCCATCCGCAGATAACATTGGTGCATAACACATACTCCCGCTGCACAAAAGAGTCAACTTTATTCGGTTTTTGTTCTTTCAAAAGGGTTTTTTGCCGGCCAGCGCTTTGTGCGCCATATCCCGGCGGTAAAAAAAGGCTTATGTATGTAGTGACAATAACAAAAGCCGCAGCCACATACACACACACACACTTTCCTGTGCACATTGGTTGGCACACAAAAAGCTGGCTAACACACACAGATGCATTTCTAACATTGTTAACAACGGGCAAACCGACTTTGAGCACTTTCGACCAGCTCAAATGTCAATATGTCAAAAACGCAAAATTTGCAAAAGGACTAACTGTGTTTGTAACCCAAAGCATTGAAAGCCAGCCATAGCAGTAGAGAATGTAAAAGTGTGTACGACACACACTTAGCTGATAAATATTCACTACAAACTCTGTTACGTCAGTCTGCTAGACCTTCTTGTCTTATTGCCACTTTACGTTTCCCTAATTTTCTGAATACGCATTTGTCGGTTAGATATTGAATATTGAGGTTTGTGGAGTAATAATGAGCACAAAATCCAGCTTTTCAATTAAAATGTAAAATATAAAACTGAAAAGTTCAATGAAGTTATGGTAAATGCAAATTTAGGAATTAGTAATATACTAATACTTCTTTTAGGTCTTAGTATTAATAGTTAGAAATATACGTTTACAGTCAAACGAACGTGAAAGGTTGACATGTGAAAATTTCACTTGAAATTGCAAATAATATTTAATGTACAGATATATAACTACAAACATAAATATAAATAAATATATATATAAATATAAATAAAAATATATATTTATAAGAGAACTCACTTGCATGTAAAACACAAAGGTGGGTTAAAAATGGCCAATCCATGAAAAACTACACTCCTCTATGGAGCCACAGCTGCCAAATTACTTTAGATTTAACTTAATTTATCTCTGTGAGCAGTATGTATGTATGTAAGTGTGTATGTGCGCAGTGAAGAGGAATGAAGTGAAAAATGGTGCGAATCGGTGAAAAAAACCAACCGAAAATTGGAAGGCAGTAAAATTGTTTTGGCAACTTATCAAGGTAATAAAATTCCGTAAATGGTTACAAGATTGATTTGGCAATGTGTTTATTTTATTTTCACACCGTGATGTTATGCACATACATACATACAGCATAAGTACGCATGGTGCATAAGTTGAAAAGTGATGGTATTGAAAGCAGCCCGGAGGCATTAAATCCTGAACAGGTGTGGACAATTGCTCACTTCAGCCATTAAATAACCATTCCAGCTGCTTGGTCAACAGCTGTGATAATAAAATGTTTGCCGCTGGTAGCTGAGCTAAGCCACTGTCGACATGTTTTAAGCACTCTACAATTTTTATTAACAGCAGTGCATAGCATATAGTAGCAATTAAATGGCTAAGGTAACGATTGAATTTCACTAACTAGGCTATAGACTATGGCAATCTAAGACTTACAGGTATCAGAACGCTACGATATCTTCATTCACATCTGAAGAATCGTTTCGCCATTTTAGATAATAAATTCCGCAACGATTATTGCTGAAAGAGCACTGTAGATACAAACCATATAAAATAGATACAACTTTTTCTTAGAAATCCCTTTTAAATGCATAAATCTAACAGCAAATATATCAGATTGAGCAGCAATTATCTAAGCGACTATGACATGTTAATTTTCTGTGACGAAAAGTCTGCTTTGTATCAAGATTGTTGACACATCGGATATTAGAGATAAAAGTTATTACTACTTTTACATAGCTAATCAAGGAATTAATAGTTTTTATTATTGAAACAGAAAGCGAATTCGTCCTTGAGCGTTAGCGAGAGGACTATAGAAGATCTAACAAGTGTACGTTGTCCACCCAAGTAAAAGAAACATATGTAGGTCTACGCGAAATGTTCCTCATTATGAGGATGAGTGAGTGATCTTCTTTGACCCCATTTGAACGTAGGGAAATACCGGATATTCAAACATATTTGATAATTACAGGCTTTGTCGCGTGGTACTATGACAGCCACTCGTTGATTGCTCGTGATTAAAATTACGTATGAAGCAAGTTTTTATATAAATATAAAATATATATATGTACATATAGTAATAAAGATAATGATATAAAAAACATTTTAAAGTGTCCAACTGGCTTTTTAAAACGGCTTAAGATTATTCGGATATAAATTTTAAAACAGTTTGATTGCAGAAATATTTGAACATATTATTATTTTTATATTTTTTCTGATGTATACCAGCATATTACGTTTTTATATGTCATTAATTTTGTTAAATTCATATACATACATATGCATTTATTTTGTATTGCTGCGCTTTACTTGCAAATGAAAACAGAGCGCCCTCTATGTGGCATTAGCGCACGAAACCTCGACTTTATTGTCTCATAGCGACATCTGCTTATTAGGCATTAAAGTTGGTGTATGAAAATAAGAGTTGCATTAACGCTCGCACAGAATATAAACATAAACTATATTATATTGAAATTAATATAAAACATATGTACGTCCACCTTTTTGCAGAAAATATCGCTTTTTATTTAAGTTTTATAAAAATTACGAAAGCTTTGATTCTGTATAATCACACATGACATTGAAAAATATTGCAAACGGCAAAGCATCAAATTTACACCACTATTTTTAATGTAAACAAGATGTACTCAGCTCACATACTCTTATCGTTGTAAACTATCGTTGTCATGCCAACGCCGAAATATATATGCGCTTGCGGTAACATATTTATCATACATCTAAACTCACAGAATACACACATACAGCAACAAGTTCTTATCATTCTCGGCAAGAATGCCTTCTCATGCTCCGAGAATGTCGGAAGTCTCTTTGCATTTAACTACATAAAACCGGCAAAATAACTAATGACTGGAAGCAAATTACACGATTTGACTATATAAAAAGTCAAGTGCGTGTGTTTCATCATTCATCAGTCAGAGAGACACTATAACCCATTTGCTATCTGCAACGTGCTCGCTCACCTTGGCTATTGATTTATTCCTAAAGCAATTTGTTTACACCCAACAACAAATACAACTGCTTATTCATTTCACAACGATTTATACTGTGACGTAAACACTGTCTAATCAGTAACGCACTTCTTTTTAATTATTTATCTTTTTATATTATTAATTTTTTTTTTTTGTGCCCGCACACTTTAAACATTTAAAATAAAGGAAACTGTAATTAAATTTTTATACACCGTCATTCTCCCGCGCGAGCAAATGCATTGCCAATAATCGAATATAAAATTCTCATTTATGAGTATGAGAATACGTGAAAACACTTTGCTCCGGCGAATTTTGCCGATTCCGGCAGCTTTGGGCGGCCGCTTGCTACTAATGTGGAACGTTGGCGCAAAGTTGGAGCGAGCAGCTGTTGCTGTCAGGGTAACCAATGAGCCGATGAAAATTGTTTTTTGCTGTATTTAAATTTTTGGTCAATTTTATTTCCAATTTAGGTCTAAGTTGATAAAACTTTCAAACAAATTATAAATTTGTGATAAGAATTTAATTTTAGATTTTCTACAAAGAATTATTAAATTAATAGTATTTGAATATAGAAAGTATTTGCAAATACATTAGATAAGCAAAGTACACACACCTCTAAAATGTAGCTGGTTAAAAAGAAAGATATAGGAGTAGAGTGTCCATAATGTGATTTCCATATACCTATACATATATTTACTATCATATAGCAATTGAACCATCCAAAGTAGCTAGCCATATAAGAGGCATTGTGTATCATCTGGACTACTCCATGTCACACACATCGCAAGTGAATCGCCAAAAGCTCCGGGAGTTTGTTTGATATGTTTTTATGCATTCATTTTATATTTTGTAGCTGGTATTGAGTGATTACTACTTGTTTATGTTCATGGCGAATAATTTTGTTGGTGAAGAATACGCATCAAAAGCAGCTTGTGAAAACGAGGGTTTCTATAAGAGTGGCATCATAAAATGAACTTCAAAATGCTAAAAACTTATCGAATAAAAGCGTAGGTACTTCACCTTAATGCGATAATTCTAACTATGCTTAGTAAAACATTTTATTTAGTGCAAAAATAATGAATTTCTTTTGATCAAACCTTATACATATATCAACACATACACGCATATTTTCACTGCAACGCCTTTTTGACTCTATTTCCACATTCTTTATATTCTTTATACAAAAATAACAAATATATTACTAATCTTTGTTTTCTAAAACTACCTTTGGCAACTCTGATCCCAACCAGTTGCCAATACCGGCAAGCTCTGAAGTCTTTTTGCACGTTTAATTTAAATTGCACGTTGATTTTGTTTCATTTTTTCTCTCGTACGTTTTTTTTTCACAGATATTTTTCGCAACAAATCGCTGGTGTTGATTGATCTAGACAAACCAAAGGGACTTATCTAAAATTCCGAAGTTCAATTAGTGATTTTTTGCCATGTAATGTAATTAGCTTTATTTATCACTCAGCCGCAGTGACGCTTCACTACTGTTTTTCGTCTCGTCTTCTAAAGTAAAATTAGCAGCGAATGACCTCTAAAGAGGTTAAATAAATGGATTTCATTTAAATGAGCTCTGGAATCCAAAACAAATCGAACGAGTATAAATAAAATCACAAAATATTTCGCTGATATTGGATGTTCTGAAGATATACATATGTATATGTAATGAACGATTTTGGTTTTTTTTTATATAAATAAGTAAGTAATTTGGTATGATAACATGAAGACAGTACGATACCTGAACGCTATAATATAGTCATACATCACTGACCTCAATTTTACTACTAATACGTAGCAAATTTATTCCTCAGTATGCTTTTACGTATGGTTGTTCTATACGAAAAAACCTAGCTTCCACTGCTGCGTACCTTTCCTAGAGTACCTTACCGGCAATAATATTTGTTTCACCGTTGTTCTAGAATCAATTTGTATCTTTACCTTACATCTCATTAAACTTTGCCTTTAATCTGATTAAAACAGTTTTTCTATTATTTTAATATGTCTATATTAACTTGTCAATAATTTATGCATTTTATACAAACTAATATGAAGTTTTTTTCGGAAGGTTAATAAATATCGAAACTATGTAAATACGCGATGCACATAAAAAATTATGTAGACTAGTGATTCGTAACCTTATTTAAATTAGTTTAAAAAACATTTACAACTAAAAAACATGTTCGATAACAATACATTGTTTCTAGCGCCTAGTCACGCGTGTGATCACGAATCCAATCCAAGTATTGCGACACCCTTGTATAAACGCCAGGATATCCAGGTTCGCCGCATTTATTGCCGAACGACACAACGCCGAGTTGCACCCAACGCGACTCAAAACGCATCATAAGTGGACCACCAGAGTCGCCCTAAGAAAGTGGTTCCATATAGTGTAATGATAAATTAAAACAAGTAAGGAAGGGCTAAGTTCGGATGTAACCGAACATTTTATACTCTCGCAAAGTCAAATAGTATACTCGTTTGAGATTTCTTTGTGGATTGGCTGATATTTTCGGTAGAAGGTCAACTATAGGCACTGGGGTCCACATATTTAGTACTTAGGGGCTTAAACAGTTTTGGTTCGATTTAGACAATTTTTGGCCACAAGGTGGCATACTTTAATCGCATTATTCACGCAAAGTTTTATCCCGATACAGTCATTGTTGCCTGATTTGCATAGTGGAAAGTGAAATAATCAGATGGAATTTAAAATGGTGTTATATGGAAAGTAGGCGTGGTTGTAGTCTGATTTCGCCCATTTTTGCCCTGTGACATAGAAACATGAAAAGAACGTTATGCACCGAATTTGGTTGAAATCGGTTAAGCAGATCTCAAGATATGGGTTTTCACCTAAAAGTGGGCTGTGCCACGCCCACTGTCTAATTTTGAACGCGGTTCCTATAAAGTCATCTCATACCATCCCAGAGATAAAATTTAATGACTCTGGCGTGTTTAGTGCTTGATTTATCGCGCTTTTAGTAGTTTTTAACAGTACCGTTATATGGGGAGTGGGCGGAGTTGCCACCCGATTTCAACTATTTTCACACCGTCAATAGAAGTGCTAAAAATATTTGCTTCCAGTGAATTTTGTTATTATAGCATTAGCGGTTTAGGAGATATGCACATTAAACCTATTAGAGGCGGGACCACGCCCACTTTTTTAAAAAAAGTTTTAACTGCAGATGCCCCTCCGTAATGTGATCCTGTGTACCAAATAACAGTCTTGTATCTTATTGCGGAGCTTAGTTATGGCAAGTTATTTGTTTTTGATTAATGGCGTTTTGTGGGCGTGGCAGTGGTCCGATTACGCCCATCGGCAATACCAACCGTCTCACGGTACCATGAAACATGTCTACCAAGTTTTATAAAGATATCTCAATTTTTACTCAAGTTAGAGCTTGCACGGACGGACGGACAGACGGACAGACGGACGGACAGACGGACGGACGGACAGACAGTCACCCGGATTTCAACTCGTCTCTTCATCCTGATCATTTATATATATATAACCCTATATCTAACTCGATTAGTTTTAGGTGATACAAACAACCGTTAGGTGAACAAAACTATTATACTCTGTAGCAACAGGTTGCGAGAGTATAATGAGGTATATAGTATATTAGGTTACCTGACATGCATCTACGCCACCATCCGAGTAGCCGGCGCAGACGAAATTCTCATTTATTGGTTGGAAGTACGAACGATCACAGTCTTCGTTACGCCAAATAGGCAATTCAGCTTGGCGTTGCGTGGTCGATTCCTTGCCGCCATAGTATGTGGTGCCCCAACCAACTACCGTCGCACGACGACCCGGCAGACGCTCTTTGGGTGGCGCACGTCCGGCGCGCGGTAAACAAACCGGTATAACGTATTTGGATTTACGCACTGGCTTGTCCAGCACCAAAATAGCGATGTCGTTATAGAAGCCGATGCGTGAGAAACTGCAGCATGTAAGAGAGATAACACCGTGTTAAATAGCAACAAACAATTTACCAGCCATCTACGTACCGTTCATGCGCACGTACTTCCTTCACAGTAAATGTGACTGGCGCCGAGGGCTCAGCATCGGTAGACAAGTCAATATCGCCTAGTCGGACAGTGAATTGTCGCGCGGCGAAACTGTAAAGGATTGTTTAAAACATATTCATAAAGTATTAAGGCTCATAAAATTTCTTACGGTTTCTGACGCGAGTCTCGCGTACAATGAGCAGCGGTTAAAATGTATTTAGTACCAATGAGCGAACCACCACACCAGAACTCGGTACGTTTGGGTCCATGCAAAAAGATAGCTGCCATCCATGGCCATTGGCCATTTGGCGCTTCAACACCACCCACAATACGGCCAGATGAATATTCCTGCTGTCCACACTCTTCAGGGTCCACAATATTGTTATTGCCGATAAGTTCCAGTTCATTACCTAGTGGACTTTGCGTTGTAGTTGTTGTTGTAGTAGATGGTTTCAGCTGCGGTATTAAAACCAAACTTGGCGAGGAAGCTGGTCTTTGTGTTGTTGGTCGTTTCGTTGCGAGTGCCGTAAGAGGCGCTTTTGTTGTCAGTTTGAGTGGTCGTTGCGTCGTAAGCACAACTGAAGACTCCGTTAAAGGACAACACACACCCGGTACGAATAGGCTCTTAAAGCAGAGCGACTCGCGTAGACTACTCAAGTTCAATAATAAAGCAGGGCAGCTGCTTAAATCTTCACAACGCCCGGGTCGTCCACCAGGTGTTTTACAAAAGTTCTCTGCATCTTTAGCAGAAATATCTTCCGTTGTTGCGGCCCCCTGATCTGCGCGGTCTATTGATTGGGTAACCGTTGGCATTGTCGTCGAGGTCGGTCTTAGCGTTGTTGACACTTTGTTTAGCTGCTGTAGTTGACCGTTGGTGCCACTAAGCGCTGAATCGGCTGCCGGCTTCTTTACCTTATTGCGGTTCTTCTTCTTCTTTTTCTTTTTCTTGATTTCTTTAGTCTCCACAAACATCGGTTTGGCTGGTGTACCTGTTTCTCCGACACGTTTGTCTGCAGTCAACAATTCCGTAACTTTCTGTTCTGTTATTAGATTGCTCTCATGTGGTTGCGGTGCGATAATTTTCGCAGTCGGTTTGATATCACTGAATTTCCTAGATGGAGTTGCTGTGGTCGTAATAACAGTTGCAGTACTCGCAGTACTAAATGTGTTTAGAGTAGAAGAGCCAATTACACCAGCACTGGCGTCATTCACTACTGACTCTTCATGTATTTCTTGTTTTGGTTCATGGCCACCTCGTGTAATGTCAACCAGCAAATGACCCATTGTATTGAGTGCGCCCAAAGTTTCAGAAATGCGATTAAAAGCCGATTGCGACAACAAACGAGGCAGGGTTTCACCACTACTGCTATCTGTGCTGCTTTCTTCATCACTATCCTCATAATACTCCTCTCCATCCTCATCCTCATCATACTCCGAACCAGCATCTCGACTCTCCGACTCCGAATCAGAAGAATCAGAATCAGAATACCTTGATTCGGAGTTAATTTGTAAGCGATTCGATTGCTTCACTCTGTTAGTATCCACACGTCCCTTCCGTCTAACTGTACCATCATCCTTCGCGTAGTCTTGTGAGAATGGTGAGTCCGATTGCGACTGAAAAAAAGACGCTGCCTTAAAAGTAGATGTGAATCCAAACTATATGTTTAACTAAATACAACGACACTTAAGCATCGTAACTTACATTGATCGTTGGTCAAGTGACGCGGCTCATAGTCATCATCTGAATCGGCCTTGGCCGCATGGCATAATTGTTGGGCGAGAAAGGTAGCAGAAAGCGCTGAAATTGAAATGCAAATCAAATGTTTAAGTTGATTGATATAGTAAAGAAATCATGCAACAAGGTTACCGCAAATACTTGCTTACTAACATAATAACGCATATTTTTTAAAGCCTTAAATCTGTTGGGCATTTCAATAAAAATTTTAAAATACAAAGCAACTTAAGTACTGGCCTAAACAGTAGGATTTTCATATCGAAGTTATCTGCTAAATAAGGATTTTAAAGACCTATCAGTCATTTAGAGCCGTCAAATAGCTAACAAAGATATTATTGTCAAGTCTATTATGTGCGAACTTTCATTTTCAACCGATTGAGATTTAAAGACGCAAGCCATCGATTGCTAATCACAAACTATGCCGCTATTAATTTAACGTCGGAAAGATTATTAATTTCGCGAAATTCAGCATTATTAATCGAACTGACTTTGTAACCAAGAATCTTGGAATATATGTTAATAGGTAACTTACGAGTATTACACCAAAATTTAAAAAATACTTTCATTTAGCTTCACATTCACAACTTTCATAAACCTTAACCGTAAATCTGTAAAGATTTTCTTTTTTGGAAATAAGACAAAAGTAAAACCACTGCTGTGGATATTATTGCACAATTCGGGCTTAAAGGCAAAAATAAATGAAAGAGCCACAAAATTAATGGCTTAAACTACTTCAAATATTTTTGGGTCTTGCGTAAAAGCCAAAACCGAAAAGAAAAATTGCCGAAAATTTTGTAACAGCCAAGCCTCCATGATGCAATGCGAAAAATGTATGTATATAATATATGTGTTCGCGCACTAACTGCATATGGTCATAAGCCTGTTGTATAAGTATGTATTCAAAATTATGTGCTTTTGTTTACATGCGCTTTTTAGCACGCGCATTTTTTGTTTATTTTTCATATTTGTTGGCAATTAAATTTAAAAAATATTAAAAGTACCACTCACAAATTATAAGTAAAAAAAAAGCACGTTGAAACCGTTTTTTTTTTAGGAATTTTCACAATTTAATGATTCATTGATTACTCACACCGCTGGAGAAAACTGGTGCGTTTTTTATGACTGTAAGTGAAAGTGACACAGTTTTTTCGCACAAAAATGCAATAACAACATACTCACATAGTTTGATTACTATACAATACTAGTATTCTTGCTTAATTTGTTGAGACAGCTGCTATTGAAATATACGCGATATAAACACTACCAAATGGACGATTTAATGTTTGGGTTCATAAGGCACTAAGGCCCTTACCATATACTATTCATTCATTACCAATACTATGACGAAATAACAACTAAATGCAACTAACGGGTGATCAAAGCAGAGGTACTTTTTTTAATAGCTCTTGTTATGACAGATCACGTGTGAGTCGTGTCAAGCTGTCATGGTATTTTTGTTTAATATTGTTTGGCGTTTCATTATGGACTTACGCCTGAACAACGTTAACGATTTACAAATTGTTCAAATTTATTATGAAAATTGACGTTCTGTAAAGTATGTGTTTCGCGCGCTTCGCTCAACTATGGTCAACATAATCGGCGTACTGAGCTTACGATTCGCAACACCATCACCCATCTTGAGGGCCAGCATTCTTTATTGGTTAATAATCAATCGAATAGACCACGTCCAGCACGTAGTGAAGAAAATATAGCGGCCATAGCTGAGAGTGTACACGAAGGCCGTGGAGAGTCGATTCGGCGCCGTTCGCAGCAACTCGAACTGACGTATGGAACGACTTGGTGCATTTTACGTTGAAATCTTTAATTGAAAGCGTACAAAATACAGCTTGTGTAAGAACTGAAGCTGCTCGACCTTTCCAAGCGACATCGCCTCGCTCTATGGGCACTTGAAAAGTTCCAAGAAGATCCGACGTTTTCGTGCCAAATTTGGTTCACCAATGAGGCCCATTTCTGGCCCAATGGGCATATAAACAAGTAAAATAGCCGCATTTGGAACGAAGAGCAACCTGAACAGATCCAGAACAAACAACGGAACAAACATGGTGTGGTTTGTGGGCCGGTGGAATCATCGGTCCATATTTCTTCAAAGATGGTGTCGGCGAGAACATAACCGTCAATGATAACCGACTATTTGATGCCTGAAATTGAAGCTCGTGATCTTGGCGATATTGGTTTCAACAAGATGGCGCGCCACTTCTCACAGATCGCATCAATCAATGATAATTTCACGTTTTGGGCCGGTCGATTGACCACCAAGATCGTGTGATATCACACCATTAAATTTTTGTGAATTAAATTTTTTTAAATATACGGGCAATCTCGCTCTGATTCAGGCCTTGGAGCAAAACATCACGAGTGTCATTCGCTAGTTACCAGTTGAAATGCTCGAACAAGTCATTGAAAATTCGTCTCAACGGATGGACCACCTGAGACGTAGCCACGGCCAACATTTAAAAGAGATAATATTCAAAAAATAAAAACCAAAGAATGTTCTTTCGAATGATAATGAATATTCCCCATTAAATTGGAATTTTCTTCTTTAAGAAAGTAGAGAACATTGAAATGGATCACCCACTATTATGTATGTACTTGTGACTTACAGTTATGTCATATAACAGCAACCTATATAACTAACAATCTACAAGTACTTAACCTCGATCGTAACCATACTTTTATAGATAAATTTATGTATGTATATTCACAATGAAATAATAAAATCCGTCAAAAAGACGGAGTGACAAACGAAATAAATACTCGTAAAGTTAACAGCCGGAGACGACCTAGTCAACAGGCAACACATTGGGCAAAGGCGCAGGTGCGTAAGCGCATGCCCAGCAGGAAATTGTTTTGTCATATAAAAAGCCGTACGCGTGTAAATGAATAAGTGACGTACTCATGGTTAATATCTGGAATGATCAAAATTATATAATACTCGTACAGTACTTTATATGAACATAGCAGCTACTTATATACCAACAGGAAATATTTATTGTTTCTATACAATTGCTCTAGAAGTTCGAATAAATTCATTATAAAGAAATGAGTTTAATGCACATTCTAATTTCTATCTATTAAAGGGGCATTATTAAATAATACATACGACCATAGAAAAATCTTCCAGCCGGTATAGGCGTTGGGGCATTCACGTATTTGAGCGTTACGCATCGTGCATGTCAAAATAGTTAAGCGGGTATGTTACGGCATACTTTTCTGAATATTGCGTACACAGTTATAAAAACTGAAAAAAGTTAACGGAAAATCAGTAGGAAAGGGTGGTACAAAACTGTTAAACTTATGTTATCGTATATAGTATTTCATAAGCGAGATGCGTCATGCAAAGCTTACTTTTGCATAACTGTGATATGTAGAAAAACAAAATATGTAATTAAAAACAACAACAACAAACGACACGCTGTAACGAGAAATCTTGTGCTTCAAATTAGTTCACTTAGCTTACGAAATATTTATGGGCGTTAATAGCCGGTCACGCGTACAAAAGCGCATGTTTTTCGAATATAAATAAAGGTAAATATGATAGAAAGTATTTTCAATTTTTTAAAAAATATTTTGTGCAAGCACAATTAGAGCTCGTAATTGTCTGGTTATACATTGGCAATATTGAAAGTATTTTTGTTATCAAAATTTTAACAATTCGCTTTTTTGAATCTAATTGACTGTGAAGTAACAATTAAGATTATTTTAACATTTTACGAAAACTTTTTGAATATGACTCTTACTTGATGAACTTTTCTTGAAACATAAATTATTTTGCATAAATATACTTAGTTATATGTATAGCAAAAGATATGGATGACAAGTTACGCAAGACAGCTAACAGATTGTGCTGAGATATTTTAGGAAATTTATCAAAATATGCTTACCCTTTTTTCAATATACAGAACTTCATATTCGCAAAAGCCGCAAAGCGAACAATGTTTAACTCGAAAGCTTTATTAATCTCAGTAGAAACTGACGTTAAAAAAATTTTCTTTGGATCAGATGCTTTGACGCCAAAACATCTCTCTACTTCGGTCACAAAATTATACTATTTAAGTGACTTGCCTAGAATTTCACAAATAGGTATCATAAAAGATTTACCTATAATCAAGAATATGTCTATTCGAAACCCTAAATTAAAACTGCTGTTAGATGACAATGAGTGGCTGTAAATGATTTGCTCAGACCATAAGATGTTCAGATTGTGTTGGCGAAAGTCGGTGTCATGACAACAATTTTCGAACTTAATCATTGTTTTTATTATGACTATACAACGTATTATGTATTATGTGGCATTCGGTAATACAATGCACTGCCATATTTTTTCTTTTGCCATAAATTTTCCGTACACAAAAGTGGTAGTGTGTTAAAAAAAAGTAGCGCGTAATCATGCAAACAATTACTAAACAAACACTTAAGTATTTATATTCGTATAGAGGTAATTATTGTGTACTCGTATACATCCGCCTGCCCAAACAATGCAGGCGTCATGTTGCCAACCTGCATCTACAATACTTCCCAAATTTAATGCGTCATGTAGCTGGCCTCTGCGGGCTGGGATGCTGACATGATCGTGTTATGTACAGATACTCAAGTACTATATTTGTTCGTTGCATTACCGCACACTTGCAGCTAGCCATATGATTGCATGCAGCGCGTTATGTTTGGAAAAACTCGTTCGCTGCGTAAAGTGAGTACTGTGCATTTGTCTCAATGTTTGCAGCGGTGGACACTTGTGCATTCCTCTATATGTGCATTTTTTATTGTTGCTGCTGCTTAAGTGAACCGTTATATTTGTACTTTTCATCAGTTACATAACTGGCAGATTAACTTGGCATAGCAGCAATAATCCGGGCAATTACATCTGCTGAGACAACAAAACAGACAACCGGCGGTTTGGTATTAAACAAAAAAGGCCAATCTGACAAAAACTTGGTGTATGCAAAGGTAAAACCAAAGTGCATATAATATTTCAAGTGGAAAAACAACAAATTACAACCGAAGCAGCAACTCTGCGCGCATACGCAACTCCTCCAGCCGTAGCAATGCGATAAATGTGCAAGATAAGAAGGTTGCGCATGCGACCCAGCTGTCATGAAAGTATTGTATATATGGTAATGGTGTGGCAGAGCAGATGTATAAAAAAATTTAATGCAAAACAGCAGTGTTGTAATAAAATGCGTAAGTCGGTAGCACAACACAAAGTTTCACCGGTAATTCCGGATGCCGCTTGAATGATGGCATGTTTTTTGTTATTGAAATGTATACGAGTACAAGTATATATATGATCAGCATGACGAGCTGAGTCCATTTAGCCATGTCAGTCTGTCCGTCTGTGTATTCGCGAAATACTGCCTATGTTTTTGAGATATCAATTTGAATTTATGCACACGTTTCTTTACTCCCCAAAAAGCTGTTATTTTGTCGGAGTAGCCGATATCGAACTAGAGTAGCAAATAGTAACACACAAAAAGACCGAACAATATCAAGATAAGAACTTTTTTAAACCCTTTAAGCTTATAAGAAATGCAACTGTAATGTGTATTATCGCTTCAAAATAAGACAATGAAAAGCTCAAAATATGACTAGTCATTAAAATGTTATTTATGCCTTTTCTAAGCCAACACTCTTCAAACCCGTTTAGTTATACTTTTTAAAACAGATTTTTGCTCATGGATTAGCTATCACATTGAAATATGCAACATTTTTCAGATTTTAATTTACTATTTTTTTATACGTCCAAAACAAATCAGCTGCAAACAGGTTTGGAGCAAACTTAAGAAAATTCCTCAGTATTTTAAACCACATTGTTATTTAAAGAGAAAAAATATATATTTTATCATCTAAAAAAATACCGAAAAAATCATGTAATATTACACCATAATATGGTATATAGATTAAACATATATATGCAAGTTTGAAGCATGTCAATAAGTTTAAGCCAAGACTTGATATGAATGAAACCATTAAACAATGCTAAAAGGCCAAAAAGAGTTGCTGACAAAACACAAAAAGTCAAAAATAAAACAAATTACATTGTTGTGCATCGGAATTTCTATAATTTTCTGCCACATAAAAAAATAATAAATAAATTAATATAAAAAGACACACACGCAGTCACCAAAAAAAAAATTGTTGTCGAACAACAACAATTTCTGTATACATAAAATATATAAAATTAAATAACAACTACATGTGGCGTCTACAAATTATAACTAAATAAGCAATAAAACTAACAACGCTAATAAAGAAGAAAAAACAATAATAAAAAACCACCGCACCAGCAAATACATGGCCACTTTATAACGTGGCGGCTTCGCGTTAATAATTTTCACTTTCTTTTCCTCAGTCACGGAACCAGTTTCGGTGATTTCTTCCACATACCCCGCTGACAGTGTTTCCTTATTTTCGCCTGTTTTCGCTTTTATTTGCATATGCGGCCTTACATACAGTATCTATATATATGTATATGATTGTATAAATATGTATGTACACGATTTGTTGTTCGTTTTATCAGGTAATAATTTGACTTTATAGCTTAATGCCGCTACTGATTATGATCATTAATATCAAATTTTGTATATATTGTGGGTTGCTGTTGCCACTGGAAACACTACGGCGCACGATTGCATGGTAAATACCAGACTTGCTTGGATAGTAAATAAATGTTGGGAGTTCATTATAAATAAGAATTTTTTGAGATATTCAACAACAAAAATATGATTAACATTTGAAACTTGTGATTATTGGAAAGTTTTGAGACTATACACACTACTAACAATAATGGAAGGCGTGCTCGGTTTTCATGTAGTTTTCTCATTTTTGAATAAGTACAGCTGAAAATATAAGGGAAAATACTTCCAATTAATTACAAAAAATACGTCTACTAACAACACAAGAACGAGTTGTTACTCGCACAACAATCTCGCGCAACTTTACTGCTTTCGATAATTTGTATACAAAACACGTGTTAAGTCTTTTTCTTACAATTCTGTACAAATTTAGTAGTAAAGTTATCGATTTAATACATGAAACATATCGCTCTCTCATCTGCGAAGAAATTATTATTTTTAATTGAATTTCTTTTTATTGGAAATATATGTATAAGATTGATTTTAACGGGAAAAATCAAAATAAAAAGTTTTGGAAATCGCAAACTTAAAAAATCACTCTCAAGTTACTTATGCTATTTATACCCTGAACAGGGTCTATTAAGTTTGCCATGAAGTTTTGTAAATTATCCATATATATAAGTGACTAGAGTGACGTACTGAGTCGCTGTCTATCTGTCTGTATATACGCGAACTAAACTCTTAGTTTTCGAGATATCAATCTGATTTGCGATTGCACAAGTTCTTTTCTCCAGAATAAGCTGTCTATGCGTCGACATCGTCGTTATTGGACCGTTATTGATACAGCTGCCATACGAACTGATTTCTCAAAACCAAGTTCTTGTGTGTAAAACTGTTTTATTTGACAAGATATGGTCACGAAATTTGGCACAAATTATTGTCCAAGCCAAAGCTACAATCACTATAGCAAATAGTGCCATACAAATTGACCGATGCAAATCAAGATAAAAACCTTTGTAAACTATTTTATGCTATAAAAAAAATCACCTGTAATGGTACTATAGCTTCGGTGCAACTGATAATAACGGTTTTTCTAGTTTTATATTCTTATTTTGCCAATTAAAAACGAAAGTTTTCGCCATTACTCTTATTAATACAATAATTATTAAGAAAATCTCGTCAAAAGTGTGTCAACTTCTTTTAAATTAAATATAAAAGCAGCAATATAATTAGCACTCGCCAATGCTTCAATGGCACTTTCACTGCATGAAGAAATTTAAGCACAGACACAGAACAACGGACAACTGCTCACATTAGAAGAGTTTCAAGTGCGGCTGCAAGTTTGTCGCTTAAGTCTTTTGTTGAAAAGCGAGGGTGTAGCGAATGCTTAGTTAAATAGTACACACATATGTGTATATTATATGCAGCGCCTATTTTCGGACTTGTGACATTGACACTGTTTGAGACTGCCGCTGCCGATTAGGAAATGTTAGGTGTGCGCATTTCATTTGCAATTTGGTCAGCTAAGGTTACTGGCTGCTGAACTGTAAATAATTTACTGACAAATAACGCCAAATTCGTTAATAATTTTGTTTACTTTTGTTTGCGTGTGCAGTTGTCTACTTGGTTTATTTTCGAATAAAAATGTGAGTAAAATTTTTATTGTCTATTTCAAGCATTACAAAACATTTTCAGTCAAGCTGTTAGTGGGCGCTTTGAGTATAACGTTACCTATTATTGTTATAAATATATATATATATATATATATATACATACATATATATATATTTTTGAATATAAGCACTACTTACCACCACATAGTAGCAGATAGGTTGTGGCGAAACGCATTTTGTCGAATATGATCAGCGTTTCGGCGCCGTTTTGTCCAATTTACTGTCGTCTGTTTTTCGAAAATAGCTAATAATGTTTTTTTTTTGTTACTTTTTTGTTTTTGCTGAGCTTTTTACTTTATGCCTCTAAATAGCCGCTAACGAGATTGATAAAAATTTATAGTGCCGGAAGTGTTGTGAGATTTTTGCACTTTTGCGTTTCGGTAATCCTGCAACTGGCTGCTGGCGATTGTTGCTTGGTACTTCCAAACTACGTCAGTTTCGAAACCGGCCAAATAGTAAGCAACACATAAATGTTGCAATTGCTGGCACTGGCTGTTTGCTCGGCTTGTCAGTTGGCTTGTTAATTGGCCATGAATGCCTGGCACTTGGCAACTACCGAACCGACGAAAGAGCGCTTCATGGCCTTCATGTGACGCATACGAAACGTTTTGCTGGCAACGAAAATGAAAGTGATTCGCAGCTAAATTTAACTACGCTTGTATTGCTGTTGTAGTAATTTATGATTGTATGCACTTGCTGGTTGATCGTTTGAGTGTCTTGTAAATTTATCTATTTGACCAGTGATTAACTTGGTGGATTAACTCGCCACAATAGTGTTGTTATTTTTTATATTTTCTGCGGAGTAATTTATTATTTAGTTATTGCTGGTATTAGTTAAATAATTATTTATTTAAACCCATTACAGCATCACATTTAGTTATTCTTGTTGTTGTTACTTTTTTTAACAACTAAAACAGATCAAGACACCCTTCAAATTGCTGCAAATATTAGTAGTTTCACTTTCGTTTTGCAATAAACTTTTGCTAAAACAACAAAAATGTGCGTTATTATTATAATTTCTACTGTAATTTATCACAACTTCTTTGCCACCACTCGCTTTCAATATTTCACGTTATATTTCGCGAGTGTATGTAGTAGTACATATATACGTATAACATTTATATATACAAATATGTGCGTGTTTCAATCTCGCAATCCTTTTTTTTTTTTAAACTCAAAATCCAAACGATTTTCACGCCGAAATTTCAAAACACAGACACATCACAGCTTCAATATTCTTTGAAACGCATTTATATACATACATTTAAAAGTAAATCTTATTAGACTATAATACGTTTTTGACTTGAATTTATTTTACATTGTTAATGTCCTCACACTCGGATTGTCGTTTGAAACTGTAGCGCGCGTCTCGAACACCTTCTGTTGCCGCTTGTTGCACATCACCAACTGAATTGTGCTGTAAAAATATTTTGTGTTTTGTCGCTGTCGTTGCCGTTGTCTACCGTGTTGCTGTCTTGTATTGTAATGGTTGTTGTTGCCCTGCTTTTCGGTTTGTCTTTTGTGCGCATGTGCACACGTCAGTTGCGCATGCGCTTCTGACGTTAAAGCATTGGCTTGCGCGCTGCGTTGACGTGAACGCACTCGTTAAGCTAAAGTGGCTGCCAGCATTACTATTGTTTGTTTCTGGCAAACTTTTGCTGCTAATAATATCGCCGTGTCTATTGTTTGTAATACGTATGTATATATTGCCAGAGCACAGTGGAGCATTTCGTATACATTTTTTGTTTATATTTTTAATTTTTATTTTATTACTTTTAGGTAAGATTTCTCTATATCTATCTCTATACCCGTTAATAGTGCAAAGGTACTGTAAAAAAAGTTGCAATTAACTCTATCTTTAATGATGAATGCAGTAACGTAAAATTATTATCGCTTGTAATTAGTAGCTATGCGAACACTTTTATGAGTATACCATAATCGAATTTCGTTCATGAAAGCTTTTCAGTAAAAGCAATGTATTTGTTTTTACCTTTATTTATTTCTAAATTTTTGTATACAGATTACATGAACTAAACAAAAAAAAACTAATCTATTTAAAAAAAAAAATCAATTTTATAACACTGTATGTATTACTCAAAGCATATGCACAATTTCTAGAATCCTTAGAAAGAGCATAACATGCTTTTTGACTTTTTTCGATATTCATTATACATAAAATGTTATTTTATTTTTCTTTTATTGTCCCGCATGTATATACATACTTGTATATCGTTTTTTTGCGCACATAATACAAAGTGCAAAGTTTCCTGATATGCTATATAGACAACTATTCACACCTTTGTCATGCTGCGCTCCTATAGCACTTAAATATCGAGCGATTTTTCAACACCGTAAATCAACTCGACGCACAGAGGGTGAGAGTAATCGCAACACGAATTTGCTCAGCGACATTTTCAAGCTGCCACCGTTACAATAGTATTAAGTGCAAAGAGCTTATAAATATATGTATACCTATATAACGGGTGATATAAGTAGAGGTGCTTTTTTCACAAGCCTTTTTTTTGACAGATCATGGTGAATCGTGTCTCGACGTACTATTCGCAACACCATCACCAGCATGCATTATTGGATAATATTCGAACGAATAGACCACGTCCAGCACGCCGTGAAGAAAATATAGCGACCGTAGCTGAGCGTGTACACGAAGACCGTGGAGAGTCGATTCGGCGCCGTATGCAGTAACTCGAACTGACGTATGGAACGACTCGGTGCATTTAACGTTGAGGTCCTTAATTGCAAGCGTACAAAATACAGCTTGTGCAAGAACTGAAGCCGCTTGACCTTCCCAAGCGACAGCGCTTTGCTTCATGGGCTCTTGAAAAGTTCCAAGAAGATTTGAAAGAAATAATCTTTAAAAAATAAATGCCAAATGTAATGTACTTTTGAATGATAATAAACATTTCCCATTAAATTAGAATTTGTTTTCTTAAAAAAAGTAGGTAACCTCGAAATGGATCACCCTTTTTATATATAAATATATGTATATTAAATGCATGTATGTGATGTGTCGCGCTATCTTCATTGTCAGTTTTTCTCTTACTTTTGTTAATTTATTTTCCATTCATTAGCTTTGGCTGCTCGAGCTCACATTTTAGCGCCTTTGTAAGTTGACTTTTGTAAGCTGCCACTGCCAATTAGTCGACAACACAATGCAGGTTGACAAATTGTTGCATACGTGTGTTATTTCTGTAGCATCTTTGAATAATTTTGTCGTGTAAAAACCAATTCAACCAATTTTCAATAACCAAATTCATACACACGCATACATATACAAAAAAGTTTACATGCAACTCCAACTTCACATTCGTACGTATGTATATAAAAAATTAGCGCTTCACTTTCTGCTGCATGGCTTACTTTAATTACACCCATTGCCTGTGTGACCTACCTTCACCCTCTGCTCGAGCATTTTCACGGCCATTAGTTGTAGATATAAGTACAATATATACATTATATGTAGATATGTACATCTCACATACAATGCTTATAACATTGCACAATTAAGTGGGGAAATTCGGTTTGCTTAAAATTGCGCGTATATTTTGTTTATCGTGCGATCACACATGACCACCCACATATACACAAATCGTTGCAGCTTGAAGGTAAGAATTCCAAAATTATTGGAATTTCCAAAGCCGACTAATTTTACTTTTTAAATTGCTAAACAGTTTCATATTTTGAATTTTATTTTATAGACTGACGCAGTTTACTGTTCACAGCCTTGAAATGCAATACATTTTATAGTAACACTTGATAAAAATGTTTCTATTTGAAGGCACAAAATTTCCTAGCGGAAGGTCTGTTCAAAACAGCAAAAATTTACTGAGGATAAGGATAAAAATCCAAGCTTAATACACAAACCCAATATTAACTTTTGGCATCTGCAGGGATGCCATTACGCTTGGAAAAGAAACTTGCAGCACCCAAGAGAAAAATTTAATATGATTCTAATGTTGGTATCTCATAGGAGTGGATATATACCCAGCAACTCTGAAGCTGTCAAATTGTATTGTCAGTTGCCCTACGGAGTTGTAAAATCAAACTCTGAAAGAATCTCTCAATACGTTGGAAAAGAACCTCTTATAGTTTATAATTGAAACCAACTTGATTTAAGCGGACTATTCTGATTCACTTTTAGCATTATAAATATGAAACTCAATGAGAAAGAGATATGCAACATAAATTGACTCAGAAATGCTAATTTTCCACCAAATTTATGCATATTATTCATTGGAATTACATATTATTTCAAAGTCTTGTAATTAAATTTTATTTTTAAATTTTTAGGCTATGTTTACTAGGCAACACCAGTTCAAGTAAGCATATAAACAGAAACTTTAACTGCAATACCAAACCAAAAAACCATAAAAAAAACAAAAAAAATAAACTGAAACAAACAAATAAAAAATCAAAGATCAATTATTTAGTAAAAACCACACAACAGCATGACAAAATCACCTAACTCAAGGCCGTTTTCCCCGAAAAATCTGGTCAAGATGAATTACCAAAACCAATGCTGTATTTATTTCTTATTATTATAAGTCAACATTAAATAAAAAAAAAACAAATTTACCATTAAAAAATATTGACAGTAGCAAAAGTGTTTGCCTCTAACTTCAGTGACTGAGTTTTTATTTTTGGTTTTGGTGGCAAAACAAAAAAAAAAGAAGAAATATAAATAAACATTAATATGAATATGAAATAATAAAAAATTAAAGCAAAACTAACAACAAAAAGTATGAACAATAAAAATTAACATTTTAAGTAGGCCACGACGATGTCGCGCGTTGTTTCAGTGCCCCACGGTCGTGTGAAGTTTCCGTTGGTTTTTTGGCTTCTTGCATGAATCATATGGACATACGCTCTGATCGCTGCGTTTAGTGCAAACGCCTCCAACACTTTTTAGTGTTTTTTTGGCCAATGCAATCAGCAGTATTTTAGCATGTAAATACGTAATTCTTTATATATTATATTGTACATATTTATACTGTCGCATCCTGTTGCACCGAGTATAATAGTTTTGTGCCCTTAAAGGTTGTTTATAACACCTAAAACTAATCGATATAGAAGGAGTGTGCAAGCCAATAAGTTACTAGTTACATATCTCCCAAATATACTATATATATTTACATATCAACCGAACTTTCTGAGGACAAATCCACCCACAACTGCTCACATAATGTAAATGTGAGTACACTTTCCATTGACTTTATACCGCATATATCGGTCAATATGTCAGTTACATATCTGGATCAAGTCAAATGAACGTATCATCTTTGATATACTTTATGTAGTTGTCGAAAATGCAGAATTCAGTCTAACTCATGGACCAATGCCCATATACTAAATATAATGATATCGCTTATTTTAGTGGTCTTTATGACGAATAAATCGTTCGAATTTTGCCTTATCTTAATAAGATGAGCTCAAAACATGTTCTCGAACATTTAATGCTCAAGGTAAATGCAAGCAATCCAAACCTTAACCTGACACCAAAATTGTAATTTTCGATTATTTTCTGGTGGATTTTATACCATTTATAGTAGTTAATATAGGTTATATTTTAATGAAATTAAGTGAACATGTTTTCTTAAAGATAATGCAATTTAGCGCTTAATATGATGAAATCGGTATTTACCTTGGTCTAACCCCCATACCTGAAAATATTTCCCCGCCTTACAACTTCGCAAATTGCGTGAGTATAAAATGTTCGGTTACACCCGAACTTCGCGCATCCTTACAGGTTTTGTAACATTTTTATGTGTTTTAAGTGCGTGTCGCACGCCATTTAAAGGTGCGTAAACCATCGGAGTACCCCAATGTGAGACTTCACTTGTGCTATAGACTATTAATCATCCAGTCATTCAATAGTAGTTCAATGCAATTTGAAACGAAGGCTTATGTATATAAAAATAGGGAAAATTAGGTATTAGCGTTTATCAGCTTAGTGAACTCGTAAATAAATTCATTGTATATCTAAAATACTAAATTACAAATTTAGCTAAAAAATATTTATACCAAATTGGACCCGGAGTGGTCATTAAACACATTCAGGGGTGTTGTAGAATTTGATAGTTGTTGGAATCAAAATTGAAACCGATAAAAAAAATTTAGTAGGTGTCATAAATTCAAATATTATCGGTTTGACGCTCGAAACAGAAATTATATCGGTTTTGTTTTCAAAAACAAAGCAAGAGGATATTCGCTGACAGATTTGAAATGTAAGTTAAGAAAATAATTTATATTATTTTTACGATTTAATTTATCGTTATTTCTATAGGGAAAAACATAGGAATAAAACACAAAATGTCATAATTATTGAGTTTATGGAAAAAATAGAGATATTTTAAGAGGATTTACCAAACGTATAAAACTAGTCTCACTGATGAAGTTCATCAGAAGTACGAGGTGGTTCAGAGAGGAGCCAAAAGAGTGGGGGAACCATAGTGTCGGTGGTATCACAATCGGCCTAGGTGTGTCAAAAGACAGCCACTCTACCTACCAAACGTAATAAACGTAATTTAACTCCCAAATGCGACTTTATTCAATCGATAACGTGATATAAATCTGTAAAGTTTGCATGTATACAAAACTACAAGTAAATGCAAGAAAAGTTTCACATGCGACTCCCCCGGTGCATCAAGTGGATTATTGTGATCCCTTAATATCTTCCTTTTAATTCTTTCGTTTCTTTTTTCTTCCAATAAAAAAAAGCTAAAATAGCGGAAATCATTG